GGATGATCTTGAAAACCTGCAAGGTTGCTTTGGAAGAGGTTGCTTTGGAAGAGGTTGCTTTGGAAGAGGTTGCTTTGGAAGAGGTTGCTTTGGAAGAGGTTGCTTTGGGAGGGGGAAGACAGGCAGCATTCCCCCACCCCATCTCTGGTTGCCTGCAGCCTCAGAGCCTTCCGCAACTTGCACAGTAAAGGCAATTAAGAACTTCTCTCGCTCGTGAGATTTTCTTTACTGTGCAAAGGCTTGCTTTAAGGCTGCAGGCTCCGAGGCTGCAGGCACCCCGGGAGGGGGACAGGCGGAAATGCTGCCCATCTGTCCCCTTCCAAAGCAACCTTGCAGGTTTTTAAGATCATCCGGAGAGGCGTTTTTTAAAAAGAAAAACCCTGCAGGCACCCTTTGACCGGGGCCAGGAGTGGTACCGGCGTTTCCGGAAGTTAATTATTTCTGGGTTCACCGACCATCCGGTTCGCGCGAACCGGGGCAATCCAGGAGGAACTCACCCCTGCTATGCTTGCTCTTTTTTTAAAAAAATAGGCCCATTTTCATGAAAAACAGGCCATTTCTGGGAGGTCTGCAGAGTGCAAAAACTTTTTTTTTTTTTAATTGTCTCTTCAAAATCCTGGTGTGTCTTATACTCCGAAAAATACAGTAAGTCTATCAATTTAAATTGGCCAAAGAAGCTTAATCATACTTTAATCAAATGTATAATGTTCTACAATCCTCAAAAAAAAAAAAGACTTGTTCATCATTAATTCTCCAAAGGAGCCACACCACAATCTTGGTTTGCTATAGAAGATCCCTGCCATCACTACCTCAGACTTCCAACTCCCACTGCCAACACTGCACTGACACTATGCCCCACCATCACCATCAACACACTGATGCCGATTCTGATGAAACCCAAGAAACTGCTATCAACACTGCCAATAACACAAACTAGATTGAGATGGCCATGGGCCAGATGTGGCCCACAGACCATAAAACGTCCAAGTTTAATCTAGACCAGCGATGGCGAATCTTTTTTGGCTCACATGCCATAAGGGGAGGAGCGCAGGGAGGTCGTGCACAGGTGTGCCGCACCCATAATGCAATGTGCGACACAAACCCCCAGTGTGCATGCGCGCATGAGAGGTGCTCCCCCCCCCATTTTTTGCATGCTTTTTTCGCCATCCCCAGAGGCTTTATAGGAGCCTGGGGAGGGTGAAAACAGCCTACACACAAACACCCCCGAGGGCCTCTGGAGGCTTCAGGAACCTTTAGGAGGCTTCCCTGGAGCCTCTAGAGGACTTAAACCAGCCCTATTTAAGCCCTCCGGAAGCTTCAGGGAAGCCTCCTGAAGGTTCCTGAAGCCTCCGGAGAGCTTAAACCCACCCTCCAAGCAAACTGGAAGTCCGTTCCCAAACTTCTGGTTTGCCCATAGGGCCTTTTTTTGTGCTCCGGAGACTTCAGGAAAGCTCCTGAAGCCTCCGGAAGGCCTCCGGGGGGGGGGAGGCATTTTTCACTCTCCCCAGGCTTCTATAAAGCCTCTGGAGCCTGGGGAGGGCGAAAAATGGCTTTAAAAAAGGCTGAATTCAGCTGGCCAGTATGTGCGCTGACCAACTGACAGGGCAACGCATCGCATGCCCTGACAAATGGCCATAGGTTCGCCATCCCAAATCTAGACCAATCCCTATTTGTTAGCCCCACCTTCCTCGTGGAATTGATGTTCTAAAGGCAAAATAAATAAAAATGTTCCTTGAGCTCCATAAGGAAAAGCAGAATATAAATACAGGTAACTCTTGATTTACAACAGCAGTTGGTACCTGAATTTTGATTTCAGATGTAAAACCACATCACTCAGTGACAACAGTCTCTGCAAATTTACTCAGCAATTTGCAACTTCCCCTGCTGGTTTCCCCACTGACCTTTAGAATAAATCATTAGAAAAGGTTGCAAATTTCGATCATATGATCATGGGGTGCTGCAACCAATCCTAAATGCAAGCCAGTTAGCAAATGGCCAGATTGCAATCATATGACTGCAAATATGGCCAGAACAGGTCACAAACACAATTTATTTAGTGCTGCTCTAATATCTGAAAAATCATCAGTAAATCTAGAAAACATATATTTTTCTAGATAAAATTTTTAACTATAAGTAGTCATTCAAAATCATTCCTGCCCTCCCACCCCACCCACAAATATACTTCATTTTAGATTACAAGATCACAATTTCAATTGCCACACCAATGATGCTATCTCCATTCCCTTTCTCCAAATCTTACCTCAGTACTGAGGGTCAATAACAAATCAGAACTCTGAGGGTGATAAATTATTTGTGTTAAAGGATGGAAAGGAAGATCTGTTAGTACAAAATTCTTTGCAAAATCAGACGATCGGAAGATTCTTCCACTATGGTATGGTCCAGATCTATCACCAGTCAGTATCACCTAGACAGATAGAAAAGTAAAGATGAGAATCATCTTCCAAACGTTCACACAGGAGCTCATCTGCATGGCCAGTTTATGATGTGTTGAAACTAGTATGTCTGAATCCATATTTGGAATAGTTTTTAGAAGGACAAAATAAAGTACCACCTTAAAACAATTCTCCAATACTAAGCTAAATTATTAAAATGCAGCCAGTTTAGACCCTTCATCTCAAGACTTCCATTTTTATCACAAAGAATAGGGCTAACAAACTGTCTAGATTGTACTGTAATAACCAATTGTTCCTACCTTCCCTGAATTCTCTGGCCCAATAGCCATTCCAAACTCTGTTCTGATGAAAGTGTTGTTAATGAGGTCTGTAATGTCTGTGAAAGTTTTCCCATAATCTTCACTAAGATAAAAGGGAGAAAAAAGACACAGTAAGGACAATAATTACCTAAACAATTTGAAGTAATCATTTGTCTTATTGATGCAATAAGACAACTTGAAATCATTTGTCTTATTGATGCAATAAAATAAATATCAAAAAGAACTGGAAAAATGGAAAAGTTAACAACGTTAAAATCACTTAAGAGGTTTTCTGTTGCATGATTTAGTTCAATGATGAAATATGTACACAATAATAGAATGTGCACAAATATAAGTATATAAAAAACACATTGCAGTGAAAACTATCCTTTACACAGATATAGCTATTACACTTTATCATATAAAATAGCTCCCATGTTTTAAAATTTCTCTCTTTCATAATCGCCACAATAGTTAACACAATTAAAAATTAAAATAGTCAATTAAACTATAAAATACACTATTAAGAATCCATAAATCTGTACCCACTCTAGAAGTAGGGACCATAATCATAAATGGCAAGTTCTACTAAATCTCTAAGCCTAAGGAGCAGAATTGATTTAGCTTGAAATTTGAAAAATAATATTAGCAGCATTGATGATTCTGTCAAAGAAGGGTTTTTACAACTGGTGCTCTCACATAGCTGGTAAAACTGCACAATATGCAAGATTCCATTTTAGGATTCTGCTAGAGCAGTGTTTCTCAGTCTCCACAATTTTAAGAGGACTTCAACTCCCAGCACTGGCTGGGGAATATTGGGAATTGAAGTCCATATTTTAAAATTGTGGAGACTGAGAAACAACGCTCTGGAGCAATAGGCCTTTCTCGACTCTTTCTTTTCCCATTCCATAGAGAATCTTAATTAACCTATGACCAGCTATGATCTGCCTGCTATGATCTATAGCTATGACTATGATCTGCCTGCTGGATTCTTGAAGTTGGAAGCAAGCTACCACTGTACAGCATGCCTAACCTTGGCAGGAGCAACTCTTTTCTAAAAGGACTACCTCTTCAGGCTTCACCTTTCTGGTGCAACTTGTTCTACATAACAACTGAAAAATGGAAAAGCAGGAACAGTCAGCCACACCAAAGCAAATATTGAAGGAAAAAGACTAAACCAATATTTCTTGTTTCCACCTGAGAAAATATAGCTGTAATCCTAGCATGAAACATATGGAATGCCAATAGGCAGGTGAGGCCTTCACCTTATCTCAAAGTTTTATTACCTATACTAGTGGTCAAAGGGGGGGGGGGCTGCTGCCGAAGGATTTACAACAGGCAGAGAAAGTAGATGGATTATATTTGACAATCTATTACGATAAAAATTATCCTGGGTCAAAGTGTTCCTATTTCAATGAGAACAGGTTTATACTGCCATTGTTTAAAAGTTAATCATGGAAAACTATACGTATTTACAGGAAAACAGCTTTTGAAAGAAACAGGTCACCAAGCACTTTATGGATGGAACCAGAGAAGGCTGTTGTAGCAATTGGGCATAGAAGCAATACTGACTTTAAAAAGAAAATAATAATAATAAATATCTATTACGTAGAACTATAGACAATTATAACATACCTTCGGTATAATTTGGATTGCCCAAAGCTCATGATCACTAGGGGAAGCTGGAAAGTAGTCAATACAAGAATAACCTGGAAACAGAAAGTGGAAAAGTTATTTAGCTCAGATAGTCCAAGGAAACAACCTTGTCTTAATGTTATTTAACTATTCTAATAGAGTTTAATTACTATAATAGCTGCTACATAGCAAAGATAACAAAAGGATTCTGGCTAACATATGTTGTGGCTCGGTAGGAGCCTTTGGAGCTGCTATCAGACTGACACAGAAACCTACTGTGAGTGGTTTCAGGATGCTCACAGGAGAAGATAACAAGCAGCTGTGTCTCGTTAAGGATCTCCTCCTGTGGATAAAAGACTGATGGTGCCACGCCTTAGTTGCAGAAGTCAACGCCGTTCGTTGGTTCCGTTCCTGTTCTAGTTCATGTTCATGATTCAAGAAGCACTTGGATAAGTGATTTGCTTTATGTAAGCCTGGTTT